CGCAGCCATTCGTCCCACCGAACCTTCCAAGCTTCATGTTTGCGTGGGCAATGGTCGACAGGCTGCAATGTCTGGAGAATTCTCAGCGCCCTTGCTACAGTCATTTGACCTAGAGTCTTTTACAAGCGCCAATAGGCAACCGTTGGCAAGGACACAACCAACTGATGTGAACATCACGAACAAGGGAAACCCCATCGATGAGCCTCTCATCACTCACATTTCATTTTCCGCGGATGGAAGATGGCTTGCGAGTGTTGATGAATGGAAACCAGCTGAGAGAGATGTGGACAACGTGAGCAACGATCAAAGAAACCAGTTCATCAGAGAGAGATATGAAGTCTATCTCAAGTTCTGGGAAGTTGGGGCGAGTGACGACTCAGCTGCCTTAGTCTCCAGAATCAATGCTCCCCATGCCACAAACCAGCCGGAGTCAGTTCTGGACTTGGCCGCAAATCCGGTTTCATCCAGCTTCGCTACGATTGGAAGTGATGGGATGGTCCGGGTATGGCGCCCTAAGGTACGACAACAAAACGGTATAGTTGCCAAGTCAGCCAACGGCAAGGATGCCTACACATGGAGTTGCTCGCAGGTGATTCCGGTTGGAGAGGTTTTTGGACAAGACGCCTCGGTTGACTTGGTGAACGCCACAAGCATAAGTGAGCCCCAGGGTGCAATTGCCTTCTCCGAGGATGGTTCAACCATTTTTGCGGCCTTTCAATCTACGGATAGTGGTGTAGTCTACGTTATTGATGCGGCATCCGGCGAAGTTGTGAAGACTCTCGAAGGGCTGTGGAACGGCAGGATGCGTTCGATCAAAGCCTTGGGAACATTCCTCATCGTTTTGTCCGATCAACTCCGTGTTTACGACGTTGTGGGTGATGAGTTGAGATACGGGATCGAAATTCCAACGGGCGGACCGGAGAGCTCGCTTCTAAACATGGCCGTCGATCAGGCCTCTGGCCACTTCATTCTTGCCGTCCCTGCTGGTGCCTACTCAAGAATAGGCGTTTTTGACCCTGAGCAATCTGAGCCACTTCTCGTGCGCAACTTGCCTCACCGGATTGTCAGCCTTGTGTCGGCACCAAACCAGAGTGGATTTGTCGCTGTCGACGATGCCGCCCAAGTCTGGACGATATCTGAAGGATCCGACCCATCATCTCTCGCTGTCGTTCAACCTTTGGACGATTTGCGGTTGGATGAAGGATCCGAATCTGTTAATGTTCCCGATGAAACAAATGATGAACCACAAAGCGAAGACGAGGATGAGCAAGAAAAAGCCGACCAAGACGTTGAGATGGAAGATGATGACGATGATACCTATTCCAGTGTTGTGGTATCTCAGCACCTTGCAGACATCTTTGATGCTGCGCCGGCTTTCGCCGCACCGTCCATCGAGGACATGTTTTACAAGGTCACGGGGCTTCTCGCAGCTAAGCCGTTGGTGGCGGAACAGCGATGAGAATTCATGCGTTGTCAAAATAACCGAGAGAACCCTCTGTCTGGTTGGTAGAAGTCGATGCCGCTATCATCAAGTGTGGGGAAGCTTGTTTTCTCTCGGAGTGAAGAGGGTGGAGGGGCACGCCGATTGCGCAATCTGCTGGTAGCTAGTACGCCATATATTCCCGAAGCCATGTGGGATCGCCTGACTTGTAAATAAAACCTGCTACAATTCGTTGAGAAGCAGATAATTCATATTGTTGTCTTCACCCCATAATACCACCCATCCATCTCATAGTCGATGATCCGATCCTGAACCCTGCAGCCATTACTAACACAAGGCAACTATGTCTTTTACCTCTGTTCCTATTCTAGATCTGTCCCAGGCCAATGACCCGGCAACAAAGCCGGAGTTTCTGACCCAGCTCCGGCATGCTTTGTTGGAAGTCGGGTTTCTGTATCTGAAGAATATAGGCGAGGCAGAAGAACTTTTCCAAGATGTGATTAGCCTCGGCAAGTCCTTCTTCGACATCCCCCAGGAAGAAAAGTAAGTGGGCAAGCTCGTTTATTACCCACGCAAGTAGTACAAGCACGCGCTTATCAGGAATCGTCCCATGTCTAGGCTGAGGATTGAAATGAAGAATGCCCGCTCATTTCTGGGTTACTCCCAGCTGTCGGCAGAGATCACAGCTGGCGAAATTGACCATCGCGAGCAGCTGGATCTCGCTACTGAGCATGCCCTCCCTACAGAAGGATCCCCCCGGCACCACAACCTGCATGGCCCCAACCAGTGGCCGGCAGAGGAGGCAATCCCCGGGTTTCGTAATGCCTACACCGAATACATGAGACGGATGGGCGACATGTCCATCTACTTCACGTCGCTCATTGCGGAGGCCATCCTCCTCCCAAAGGACGCCTTCAACAAGTATTTCGACGAGGACCAGCACCACAAGCTCAAGATTGTCAAGTACCCGGACCTGGGAGAGCTTGGCAAGGAGGGCCAGGGCCAGGGTCAGGGTGTTGGGCCGCACAAGGACAGCATGCTGTCGAGCTATCTGCTGCAGGCCTCGGAGCACAAGGGCCTACAGGTGCAGAACGTCAAGGGGGAGTGGATCGACTGTCCGCCTGTCCCGGGGACGGTGGTGGTGGCCATCGGCCAGGGCCTCGAAGCGCTCACCCAAGGCGTGTGCGTCTCGACGACGCATCGCGTCCTGTCGCCCGCTGCGGGCTCGGGCCCTCGGTTCTCGATCCCATTCTTTCAGGGAGTGGACCTGGACACGGACTTTGACAACCTGGAGAAGGTCGGCGTTGGCGCCGTTCCCGACAAGATCAAGGAGCAGCGACGGAGGATTGTCGAGCGCAACGGTGGCAGGCTGGACGATGTGGAATTTACCTTTAGAACGGGGGGTGCCTCCAAGACTCTGGGCGAGGCCACTTTGCGGAATAGGGTCAAGAGTCATCCGGACGTGGGCGAGCGGTGGTATCCCGACATCCTCAAGAGCATTCGCGAGGAGCAGGCGGCCCTGGCCAAAGATAAGAAGGGGACGAGCAGCAACCCGGGAATCGACGTCCCTCCTCAGGCTGTAGAGGCCCACTGAGATAGGAGCCTGACCGGAGTTGTCGTCATCATAGCTAGCATCATTCATCTCTTTGTTTTAGGTTCTTGATCACATTTGCATCCGTAGCTCTTCGTTACATTCAAAACGCCGTAGTCTATACGTGCACAAACTCCCTGGGCTCAATTTCATGCACACACCCACCACCACGTGTCTTACGCCAATCGCCATGCCATCCCCGTGCCTCTAACATGTTACTGCATCACTCTTCGAAAGAGGGGAACGCTTCGGAAAGCGTCTTGTTGTGCTTGTTCTCGGCGTGCTCGGTCAGACTGTTATGCAATGGTTAGTCGGCTCCTGGACGAACTTCGGGGCTATTAGACGGAGGAACGAGGGGTTTTCGCACGCAGGGGCCTTGGTGGTCTTGAGAAAGGTCGACTTGCAGACAACGCACTGGATGTCGCACGCCTGCTGGTTCTGTGTTGGGTGAAGGAGTGTCAGTCAATCCGGGCCCGATGTCTCAGTTACGATGCCACTGGAGTAGGGTTGACGTACGACCTTGAGCTGGGACTTGGCAGCCTTGCCGTCCTTCTGGTTGCGCTCCCGCTTCTGTTGTGCCTTGGCTCCCTAGTAGTGATAGGATTTGTGAGTAATTTGGAAGCACGGCCAAGCGACTAGTCGGAACCACTTACGTTACCCATGGTTGCGGTGGCTGGTGATTTGAAATCACGGTAGGTTCGGAATTTGGGGAGAGAGAGAATCGTACTATTAGTCACAAGCGACAGGAACAAGAGCGGCGGTTGACTGGCTCGGGATGCAGAAGAGATGGAGGGAGTATCGTGAGAAGAAAAAAAAGCGGGATCTGCACACAGTGGTCTGGTCTGGTCCGTCCGTCTCCAGGCGGTACCTCCCGTTTCACGTAGTGGCAGCGCGGTGGGAGCGCAGTGGGTAACATCTGCTGCCCTCCGAATCGAGAACTCGCCGCGGAGCCCGGGAGCTGGACCCTGGAAAATAATCGCCTAAACGCCCAAGACTCTAGGTCGGTATCACCCGAGAGCTAGCAGCCAAGTCCCGTCTCCATATTAATGGCCTTTGAGAAGAGGCAACTGGGTGATGGAAGATATGAGACATCGGATTGAACGGTGGTTATAAGCAGACGACTTTCTACGATGATCAGAGTGATACGCCAGGATAAAACGATATGAGACGATAATAGTTGGTGTATTAACCCTTAGATCTCACAATAATGGTCGCAGACTCGAAAATAACCAGTATGATGTTTGAGCTTCCCGAATTCAATATCCCCGGCTGCTTGGGAGCGGGATTGGGATGACGGGCAGGAATATTGAATTCTTAATGTCCTCGCGAGGTTTCCACGACTGTGACGCTGTGCCGGGGTCGGTCATTACACCTCATCAGCATCGACGCAGCGATTAACAAAGACTAGAAGTGACTCGTCACTCCCCCTTTTCGGGCCCGGGGCGTCTTTCCCCCCTCCGCTCCCCTCCTTCTCTCCTCTGGAAAGTGCATCGTAACATTTCTTATCTGCATCTTTATCCACAGACTTATGGCTATACGGACCTAGAGCAGGAAGGTGCGATCCAGACAGCAGCTGAAAAGCGCTTCATACGCGGCTGGTCGGCAGCTGATTGGCCCGGGACAATGCAGGTGGGGTGACGTCCAACCTCCAACTCCAACGCAGTCCCGCTCAGCACCTAACATTAGAACCCAACACCGAGACTCCATCGTCCACCCTTCGCTGCGCCCTTCCCTATCTGTCTTCCCATCGGCATATACCGTGTCCATTGCCGGGATACTATGTCTATCATCACCTACCTAGCAAAAGGCTCCCTCCATCGTCTCAATTGACGGTCACTTGCAGCACACCGTGGTAGTATTGCGGCGTTCCTGTGCCTGCCATTCAACTCGTGGAATCTTGGCGGCCCACCTCCGTCTGCATTGCATGGTAACTCGCATTCTCACGCCAACCAACAGCTCATCGTCAAGATGATCTCTGCCGATACAATTTCCAAAAAGGATTTCGATCAACACCTGGCCCAGTACCCCTCTGTCATTGAAGCCACTTCAGCCTCCAAGCCGGGTATGTTGATCCTGCTCAAGTAAATGATAAGCTCAATGCGCACCTAATAAAGGTGTGTCCGTGAGTGAGAGACCAGCTTGGAGTTGACACATATTTTTTCTCGTAGCCAAACCAGGCCAGAAATCTTTGCAGGAGCTCGATCAGTATCGCTACGATACGGCGCCCGGCTTATTTTCACCAGATGGCGACGGCTCTGTCATGGACCTTGATGCTATCAAGGCTCTGGTTGAGTGGAAACTGTACGTATGCATGATGCCTCGCGAAATGCAGCCTCCCTGCACCGTAGCTCTCGCAAAGACAGTCTCATTTTCGAATGCTGCTGAAAGCAGTTCATTCTTGCATCTAGGGCTGTTGATCCGCAGCACGGCAGCGGCTCAGCCTCTCCCCGATGTTGTAGCACATGCACAGTCCACCCTGAGGAACCTGATTTACCTGCATCCACCCTATGCACCCATACCTTTACGGATTTCTCGTTTTTGGATGCTAACTGCTTGATAGTCGCCATGGGAAATTTCGTCCAACCCTGATGAGCCTGGTTTCCTCCAATCCCAACGACTTTGTAAATGAGATCGTACAGGAGGCAACTCAGCTTTACAAGGAGACCAAGTCAATCCCTGCAAGTCTCGCTAAATGGACCAAGCTGAAAGGGATTGGCCCCGCAACCGCCTCTCTTTTGTTATCTGTCCATGATCCGGAGCATGCCATCTTTTTCTCGGATGAAGCCTTTTACTGGTTATGCGGCCAGGGGGGGAAACTCTCCATCAAGTATAACGTCAAAGAGTACCAAGAGCTTTGTCAGCATGCAGAAGCCCTTAGAGGAAGACTCGGAGTATCTGCCACGGACATTGAGAAGGTGGCCTTTGTCTTAATGAGACACCCTAGCAATGATGCCAAGCTAGACTCCTCAGGCACCAAACCAATCGGTTCAAAGTCCGTGTCAGCAAAGCGAAAGGAAACCGTTGGCCCTGACCCGACGAAGGCGACCGTCAGGCGATCGAAGAGAATCAAATCGTAGACTGGCGTCCCATCCGCGCCAGCAATAACGTAATGATTCTAAGAAGGCAATATATTGGAAAACCGTTAGAATACCCCATAATTCCGGTGGGAGTTGGTGCTGGGGGCAGCTAAAACGTCATGGTTCGTGGGCTGGGCAGGCTTACTGCCCTCACACCAAATCTCCAATTGGCTCCAAGGGTTGCGTGCTCTGCCTGTGCTCACCTCCGGCTCCGCGGCCCGTATTCGCGAAACTCAAAATCTTTGTGGGTGCTCACTACCCAGATGTTGTTCATCGAAATGACGATTTGCTTCACGAGATGATTCCAGAAACATGTCCGCTGCAGGCAAATACCCGTCGGATTCGCGTTCTGATCTGAACCGTTCGAGATGCCTACCCCCCAGGCCTCTCTGCAATGTTCATGCTCGTATCTCATGAGAGATGCATTGGTGACATGGCTTGGCGTTCTTCACATCACGCACTGCAACCCATGTGGGTGTCAAGAGACAAATAAAACATAGCTCAACTACTTCATATGAACAGTGTGCCTATCTCTCTATCTCTTCGACCAATGCCTCAAAGCTTCGCTTGATTTATTGACGTACCCTCCCTACCTTGCTCCTCATTCCTCTAGACTTGATTTCCCTTCTGCCCCACAAAGTCACTACTGCCGCTCTTACATGGGCCGCAAGAATCCCTCTCTTGATTTTTCTTATTAAAAGGAATATCATATCATATGACCTTGCCGAGGGACAATCTATCTCAACATGCCCCTTCTATCTTCAGACCTCGGGTGTCCCCTTCCACGCCGACATTCCAAAGTCAGAGATATGCTAATGCGTGGGAAAGAAGACACATTAGTTGCTTCATGGAAGCTGCTTCTGGAACAGCTCAGATCTGAGATCGAGCTCACCCTTAGGGCTGGACCAGCAATCTTCCCTTCGCTTCATTTCGACGATCTCAAGAACAAATCCCGGGCCAAGGACTTCTCCTGCCAGCTCCGGAGAAGTGGCGGAGGCGTATTACGCGGAGTAATCTCCGAGAGTGAAGCTAGAACATGGAACAGCGAGCTCCAGGCTTACCTAGCAGGCGACGATTCACTTGCTAGCAGCTCTGCACAGGACCCTCAACTCTACGATGTCTACTGGTCTCCAGCGCAGGTCAAATGCCGAGCTCACCCAAATGTCCTAGCTTCACAAAAGTTTCTGATGAATATTTGGAGCTCGTCCAATCACACGGCCGGCATTTCACACAATTTCCCCCTCAGCTATGCAGACCGTATTCGCTGTAGGAAATCCTCGGGCTCGAGCTTTCTTCTGAGGCCTTCCATTGAAGGTGATAGTGCCGATCGCTGGTGCCCAGATGATTCTCGTGAAGCATTTACTTATAAGAAAATCTGGGAAGGGAACTGGCAGATTTATGACCCGTGGGACAGCACCACGAGGATCCAGACCCCGAAGCACTCTGCACAGAACCGCAATTCAAGCTCAATGTTTCGCATGTACCAAGGATGGCTTCCTCTGAGCCCTCTCCCCGAAGGTCAGGGTTCGCTGCGTCTGTGTCCGATGCTCCAAGCCACCACTGCCTATGTGCTGCTTCGCCCTCTCTTCTCCCCAATCAATTCCTCTCCCACCTCCCCCGAGTTTTTGTCTGCGCAAAATTGGACTTTAAATCCCCCAGGTTCATCTTCAATCCCTCCCGCCTCCTCTTATAGGCAGGAGCTAAGCAACGCTCTGCACCCGCATCTTCAGCTCTCCAGGACCATGGTTCGCATCCCGACCCTCAACCCCGGAGATTATTTTGTCTGGCACTGCGACTCAATTCACTCAATTGATCACATCAAAGGTGCAGGGGGTGGTGATGCTGCCATCATGTACCTCCCAGTCTGCCCGCTGACAGAGTCAAACGCTCTGTATCTTGCCCGCCAGCGAAAGTCCTTTCTCCTAGGACAGCCCGGACCAGACCTGGCCAACTGTGGAAGAGGAGAAAGCATCCTCATGGATCGCCCGGGAGTCCAGGAGGTCAACGAAGTGGGAGGAGAGAGGGGACTTCGCGCCATGGGATTGCTGCCCTGGGACGAAGACGACGCGACTAATGATCTGGAGGAAGACCTTTTGGAAACGGTGAATAACATCTTGTTCCCCGACAGGTATCAAAATTAGGTTGGCTGAGAAAATTGTGTATCTAATAGTAACTTCATTTAATTGCATTTTTGGTTAGTTAGGTTTGAATATTTATCAAGGCTTGGGACAATCTCAACGAAGTGCGGACGCTTGGAGAATTCTTCTCATGGTTGTAAAATTGTACAGAAATGATTATAGCCGACTGGATTCAGCAGCCAAAAGACGCATAATACAAACACAGCCTTGTATCGTTTCACAATCAGGATCGAATCTTCACACTGTGACAACGATACGATCGTCCCCCTCCACTTTTCATGCTACCCTCTTCCTCTCTGCATCATCTTTTGTTTTTAAGAAAGCTCTGACCCCCCAACCAGATTGACCCCCGACTGATATTCTCTTGGCTAATACCATGACAAAGTCAGGGATCAGCAAGCTGGCAGATCAAGCATGCGACTGTTCGCCAATACGCTTATTTACCCTTTGAGCTCTCGTAGTCCTTCTGAGTCTCGGCGTACTTGTCGCTGAGCTCGCTGTATGCCTTGTTGAGCTGCTCGCTCTGCTTCTTGAGGTTCTGGAGGTCCTGCTCCTTCTTCGCGAGCTTGTCCTTGAGGGCCGCGAGCTCGCCGGGCTTGCCGGCGACGGCGAGCTTCTCGCTCTGGACGGTGTCGGACTTGGTCCCCTCGTAGGACTTGACCTTCTCCTCGAGGCGCATGACCTCGAGGATCATGACGTAGGTGCGGTTGAGGATGAGGGACAGGAAGAGTGTGAAGCCGCAGAGGTACATGTTGCGCTGGGAGTAGAACTTGCGGGCCTGGACCTCGAGGCGCTCATGGCCCATGACGCCGGCACTGATTGAGAAGACATCTGTTAGCAAGGGTGGCTTTTCTGGGTTGGGGTGGATTTGGCGATGGGGGGCATGTGGGTGAGGGTTGGTGTGACGTACCCTCCCTTATTAGCATTCTCCGTAGCGGCAATGAGCTCGATTTGGACGCGGTACACCCGGTTGACGCTGTCGAGGAAGAGGATGAGAATGAAGACGAAACAGATCTTCATCCAGTACTGGATCTTGGCGACAAGGGGGCTCTCGGAGATGAAGCTTCGGGAGTTTTTGTTAGTTCTACACGTTGTTGGAGCCCGGAAAGCAGGTGGGGGACATACGTGAAGATTTTGCGTTTGAGGGTGAAGGGGAGGGGAACGATGAGGAGCATGAACAAGGCCATCTCCAGCATCAGGAGCATAAACACCTATCGCCAGTTAGCAAGGAGCGTCCGCCTCTGGGCCGGGCATGCGTGGTGGGCAAGCATACGAGGGTGTAGTAGAGCGTCATGGTGAAGGCGGGGCTGGATCTACCAGCGACGAAACGCAGACAATTGATCGGTGCTCTCGAAGTGCTGACGACGAGAAAGCGTGCGGATTGGAGTTTTCGTGGTTGTTGGAAGAAACTGATGTGGAATCGGGGAGGGATGGAGGGAGTGTCGTTGTCTCAGAAGCTTGCGTGAGGCTGGAGGCTTTTGTAGGAGCTCGCGAGGGCAGGCATGTAAAAGGCCACCACCTGAGGCCAGATCAACAACGTCATCGCCAGTGGTGGCTGAAGCTGTCGAGGTGGGGCGATATGGTCCCACTAACGAGGTGCTACCAGGCAACTAGCCGCGGTGGGCACTTGCCTGCTGGGTCCGGCATCTCTACCCTGCGTGAGTACTTGGCAGCCAGGCCCAGAACCAGAGGCCACGACACCAGACAGCTTGAACCTGGTTGAACAACACAGCAAGCCTGGATATAACATGTTGGCCTCAACATAACACGCAATACCATGCCAATCTACTATAGGCTGGTCTTTCAAATTATATAGAATTGTCTAAATTAATGAAAGTGAATGATAAAACTACATTTCAAAACCTGGTACGGGGAAACACGTCTTGCTCTACCAAGACATTATTATATATATAGACAGCCCGAGGTCTTCTCTCACTGCGGGCTGTTGTCCTTGGCACGGCGGCTTCTCCCAGCGCCCAAGGCATACACTTCATCGTCCTTGAACTTGGCTGGTCGCCTTCGCTTCCGAGTTGACTTCTCTCTCTTGTCGAAGTCATCGTCGCTCTCCTCGTCTTCGTCTTGGGAGGACCCTTCATCCTCCTCGTCGCCAGATGACTCGCCGCCCTCCATCTCATCGCCTTCGGACTGTTGTTCCTCATCGCTATCGCTGATGACCTTGTGTTGGCTGAGCCGTGGCCTCTTGGCCTTGGGTTCTTCTGCCAAGGCTGAACTCTCAGACTGCGAGGTGGAAGTCTCCCGCCTGGGGGCGCCCGGCCGTTGCGTCTCCTTGCTGGATTTTGCCTGCTTGCGACTGTTTACCTTTGGCGCTGCACCGTTGCTCAATCCTCCCTTCACATTGCGCAACCGGCGTGCTTGCCGCGCTGTCTCCGCAGATCCGCCTCCGTTCTTCTTGCGAGGGCTTTTATTGTTCGGCGAGCTCGGTGCATATTCCTCTTCCGATTCCTCTGATTCCGCACGCTTTCGCTTGAGGTTTGGTCGCTCTGGCTCTTCCATTGGGAAATCCTCATCCGATCCCGAATTGCTGCCTTCTTCAGAGCTGTGATCGCTGCTCTCCTCATCCTCGTCATTTTCATCCTCGTCCTCATCATCGTCCTTATCTCGCTTCTTTCTCCTCTTCCCTTTGTCTGAGCCGAGACCAAAGTCCTCGCCGTAGTCGAAGAGAAGTTCTTCCCATGGCTTGATGTTCCGCTTTGCACGGAAAGCGATGCGGAAGCATCCGTTGACCAGCAAGATCTTCGGGGTGACATTGCATTTCTGACTACTGCCATCCGCGTGGTTGACGTAACGGCTCAGGTTTCCATACCTCGCTCCGTCGATCCAGACATTGCATTCTTTCAGAAGGGTAAAGTTGAAAGAGAGAGGTTTCGTCCCGTCAAAGAGATTTTGCCTCCTGATGTATCGACGATCTCCCTCCTCACCAGACACCAGCTCGCCAACGTATTCAATGATGAATTCATCTTTGCGAACAGGTTCAGAGGAGTAAAGACCATAGCCATGGAACTGGCTCTTTCCCAGCACGAGATCTTTTGTAGCGCCGCGCTGCAACGAACAGTTCTGGCAGCCAGTGGCGAGCAACTCTGTCTTCCGTGCATTCTTAGGATCTGCACGTTCAAAAGCGCCACAGGAATGACACAGGTCAGGGTCACACTCCCGGTTGAGCTGGACACAGATGCATTCCTCGCCCTTCATGTGGCAAGGCTTGCCACGTAAGCCGCAGTCGCACCCTGTGAATTTGTAGGCACAGTTCTCAACAGTGCACCCGCAAAACTTCTCACAGAAATGCCCCTTTTTGGCACAGGGACATTTATCATTGCTTGGGGAGCACGGTCCATCGTGGTCGCAGCCACGGAGGGCGCAGATATCATCAATATCTCGGTTAATATGATCCCAGTTAGGTGTATGATACCTGCCCGCCCCGGGCCGTCGAGAAAGCTTATGCTCAAAACGGTTATACCAGGATAAGTTGGGGACCTCGTCGTCTTCCTCTGAGTCATCTTCTTCCGGGACCGGGTTCGCTGGTGCTTTGGGGAGTGAGATGCCGAGAGTCTGGTATTCCCGGTGGACCTCGAAACAGTCGCGGTCCAGCAGAACCGCTGCTTGGCATATTGGATCAGAGGAAACCAAGCTGCAGGAGGTAGACATGAAGATAGTGCGAAGAACATTTCGTTCTGCATCGGTCCATGTACTTCCAGAAACCCCATTCGCAACTGGGTTATACGTTATGTAGCACTTGCGATCGCATGAAGGGCTTTCTAGTTGTGCTCCGTTTGTCATCTTATTCCTGTTCTCCAGCATCTTTCGTCCGCTTTTCTCTGTGAGCCGGCGCGACAGCCAGCCCTTTTCAAGAGCGAATCGCTTTCTTTCATTGCCGTCAGTGAAGAAGCCATGTTCGCAGGAGTGTTTGAAACAGATTAGACAGCCCAAAGAGGAGTATGTTTGAAGGGTCGATTCCAACCCCTCGAGAGCAGTTTCAGGGCCCAATGGAGGAGACTCATCAGAGTTATCCTCAGAATCAACAAAAGCCTTGAGTTCTCTGTCATAAAGCAGCACCTCAAGAAGGCTAACCTCTCTGATTCTGATGCCATGTTTGGTCTTCTCCTCTCCGAAAACACGTTTCCACGCTGCTTGGAAAGTACGTCCGGCTTCAAAGTTCTCCACATCAAAGTCCTTTCTGACATGTGTAGTTTTGATAGCTTCGTACTTCTCAGCCGTGAGAGGCTTTTCAGGACCCCTTTTATGCAGCTGCAGGAGAAGTGTCCATTTATTCACGTCAGGGAGCGCCAACTCTTTCAACCAGGATTCAAGGTACATCGAGATTGAAACAACCCTCTCGTAGTGAATAATAGTAGGGCGTTTCTCGTCCAGTTTAATGGAATCAAGCCCATGCGAAGCCTCCGAAATATCGAGGTCCTTGATGTATCCTTTCCACTTTTTCTGCTTGCGAGGGGTGTCAAGATCACCTTTATGCGGATAAAATGCCATGGGAGTCTGGGGCGCTACAACGTTATTACCAATCTGCACTGGGTGATTGAAATAACGTGGAACTGGCGCTTTGACGGTTTTGATCGGGGTTACCTTCAAGGTGTCCCTCTGATCTTTGCGTTGTAACTGTTTGTCCATGTTCTACCCATAATTGTCAGCCTCATGCAGATTGACCATGGAAATTTGGGAATTTTACCTTGATCTTGATCTTCAAACTCATCCCACTATTCTCCGCTCCAGGATCGCCAGAAAGCGCGTCAAAAAGGTCCTTGCCAGTATGCACACGTCGATCGACCACCGTCGTCGACTCAACCGTGTACCTAGCTAGTTGATCATGGGTCTTTCCCATCTCCTTTCGATATTCACCCAAGCGCGAAATGATGGCAGGTAAAGGCAGCATCTTGGGCGGCCCGGGCTTGGTCGAGGAACCCGGGCCAGTCACCTTGGATTTCGAAATACCATCCGACGGCCCGTTAGTGCCATAGGTCTGCTGTAGCTTCGGCTTCTTGGGTGACTTTCTGGGGGATTTTTTGGGGGAGGCTTTTGGCGAATTTTGAGGGCGCATCCGACTGGCCAAATCCGCGCCATGCTTGGTAGGCGACGCGGTCTTGCCTTCACGAGCCATGATCAATGGTTTTCAGAAGGAAACAAGTAAATAAGAATTCCCAATGGTCAAGGAGAAGTAAAAGCCCAGTATGGAGGTTGGACCAAAAATTATGTCCGGAAATTGGTCCTCAAGCCGCCTAGGAATGCCAGATCTTGCAGTCCTGGCTTGAATCTTGAAAACACGCTCCTGAGAGAGCCCAAGTAAAACCAATGTTTTTAATTGGTATGAAGATGAATCAAGTATCCTCCAGCTCACTGGTTCCTCTGCACTTTAGATAAGCATTGCATACTGTTGTTCTGTCCCCCCTGTAAATTCAAACCGGATGCGCGACACGTGTGTAAACACGACTCGAGGCGCCACGGTAAACCAAGCGGGAAAATCCTAAAAAGTACAGAAAAATAAAGTGCAAAGAAAAGAAGGATGAAAGGGAATGTCGGGCGCAGCCGGTCGGCGCAGAACCGTCAGGATTCTTCAATGGCCTTGGATGACTTGTTTCGTTAAACACGATTCTGGCGAAGGTTAATCACCTGGAGGCGCATCGGGATGCGAGTTGAATTTGGGCTTATGTAATCCTAATTTCCAATTCAACGCGCCGCATCACTCAAAAGCGCGATCCGGCTGCAAGATCTGACTCGTTTACCCAAGTCGCCCAGACTAACGCGTCCAAAGAATCAGGAGTCCATGAAATCTATTTTACTTCTCATCACATATGGCAATAGCGAATTCGACCACTAGCTGCATGATCCAAATCCCGGATTATCCTTGTGGAGGCCTGCAGAGCACATCGAGCCTGCAGTCCCTCTAGCTCCACATTCAACATTGACCCTGAGCGCTATGTGCATGTAAAAGCATGGGCTTTTTCGAATCCGATCACTCTGATCCACAGGCGCCAGCTCCAGGACCACAGCAAAACTCAAAGGGTGACCTGAATGACGAAAGTTAACAGTGGGCCAGGTGTGAAGTATATCAGTTGAACATCGTCATCACAGTCCGAATCTCTAGCCTACCGTCCGCATTAGGTCTAGGCGTTCCAGTGTCTAGACCTCGAATTACGTTGCTGACGGCCAATCCGGAGCAGCTATTGGAGAACGGCAGGCCTGGAGTAGATGTTCGAAGCCCAGCCGATCGCTGGGTCTTGAAAATGCCGGCCCCGATCAATGTCTTAACCACGTAGAGGCATGAAC